ACACCACCTAGTGAGTTAGTTTAGATTCAGAAAGAAAAGTACTGATTTCACTTTTGTGTGGACTTGAAAAGAGCTCAACTCCTAAGGGCTAGGAATTGAATAGAGATGCCCAGGGGATGTGGGGAGCAGAAAACATGGAAATGTGAAAGGTCACAAATTTCTTGCAAGATGGATAAACCTTAGAGACTGAGCACGGGGCTTAGTGCCTGAGGGTAGTGACTGCACTTTAGATTTCAAACAAAAAAAGACTGCCAATGTGGAAAAGCTAAATGAACAGGGAGGAAGGGGATGCTAGGCAGCTACAGCCCGATGTGCAGGTTGTGCTAGTTCTTCCCTAGGTAGAGCCATCTCCAAATGTGAGTCAGCCATCTCTAATAAAACAGTTTTTAAAATCTCATTTCCATGACGATCACCTTGCATGTGTTTTTCTTGTCCTAGATCACTACTTTGTAGCATTTCCAGAGCCTAGACTGTCTAAACTCCAGACACCCTACTCTGTCTGTGTGTGTGTGTGTGTGTGTGTGTGGTGCAAAAGCATGCACATGCGTAGGTGTAGTAGGTCTATTCATTTGTAAACTACACGAGGCCAGGCACACTATAAATCTTGTTGAAAATCCTTATATACACACGAAGGTTTCTCAGCATGACCACTGTCAGCCCCGTGCTTGTGTCCTGCAATCCCCAGGATGACAGTGACATTTCTACACCTCTGCCTATTAGATTGCAACCACATTTGGAGTAGCCAAAGTGTCTGTAAACCTTGCCAAAAGTCAGCTGGGGCAAAATCCAGTGGAGTCATAGCCTCAAATGCTAGGTTTAGTGCTTATAATACAGTAGTTAATAGCTAATATGTAGTGGCATTTCAATTGTATTTTAATAACTAAAGACTAACTGAGAGTAAAACAGCCCCACTGGCCTTACAGGCCAGGTAATGGTAAACATACACCTTTAATTCCAGTAGCCATAATAGTTTGCCATAGAAACTGAGCAGGGTGTGCCTTTAATCCCAGTGTTGCGCACCTTCAATTACTAGAGAGGACTATAAAACGGGAGGAAACAGTTCTCAGACACAGTCTCATTCTGAGACTCCTGGAGACATGATCACCATTTCCAATCAAGGTTGAGGCTGGTGGCCTTAATTTTTGGATCTTCAGGTTGAACCCCAATTTCTACCTCTGAGTTTTTATTAATTACGCTTCATTAATAACCACATTAACAAAATTGCTATTAATTAGATGTGAGAATTGAATAAGATGGGAGAATTCAAGGATGTCTCCAAGATTCTCTCTTTGGATAGTGATTATGTCTTTTATAATAAAGATGAAGTAGTGTATTGTGGGGTATATGATCACTCTGTGTGAAGATGTGGCTGCTTTTCCTCACCTGCCTAAGGCACCTTCTGATTGGTTTAATAAAGAGCTGAATGGCCAATAGCTAGGCAGGAAAGGATAGGCAGGATTTCTAGAGAGAGAAAGTATCTTGGGGGAAGAATCTGAGAAGGGGGTTTGAGGGTCTGCCCACTGGATGGGGAGAAGGTTGTGGGACTACGGTACTGAGGAGAGGTACCACATGGTAGAATGTAGACTAATATAAATTGAATAATTTAAGTTTCAAGAGCTAGTTGGGAACAAGCCTAAGCTAAGGCCAAGCTTTCATACTTAACAGTAAGTCTCCGTGTCATTGTTCAGGAAGCCGGCAGTTCAGAAAAAGACCTGTTCCAGTAGTACATCATAATTTTCAATGGCTCCCTTCAAATGTGGACTTAAAGTTGAATTAAGACTTTAGATGGAACTTATGCCCACCAGATTTCTGTCTCTTTGTGCTGCATCCCAACAACCAGCAGATCCCTGCTTTGTGAGTTACATAACCATTTTCTCTTTTTAACATTACACTAATAACTTATGTTTAACCCTCTGACTATTTGTGAAGAATTTTGTTAGTTCTTATCTTCTTCTACTTTGTATTTTCCATTTGTTTTTTACCACTATATTTTATATATTTTTCTCATTAAATTTCATCTCTTTTTATAAAGCATATTCTTGGTTTTGCCAAGTATTTTCATATTTTATATCATATCTTTGCCCAATTTTATACTACATTTCTTGGTTGTTTGGTTAATAACAATTTTGTTCTGAATACAGTAAAAAATGAAAATACATAACATAATTGAATACTCATGTACTGTGTGAAGAACAAGTATCTTATAACCAAATCATGGAATACTTATTTCAAAGGTCTCAAAATTTCCCCCTTTCCTCCAATTTTAAAAATTAAAATAAGCAATACGATATCACTATTTCTAAAATATGCTGCTGAAAATAAAGACAGGATGTATAGCAACTGAGGGCCAGACAAATTTAATAGATCTTTTCTTTCCCTCTCCCTCCTTCCTCTCTCTCTGAGGCCAGGTTATCACTATGTAGTCATGCTGATGTTACAAGCAAGCACCACGGATTCTGGTGGCCCAGTCTGGGACTCTTGTGTTTCTCATTCACTTTGCTTAGAGAATAGCTGAGTTCACTTGTGGCACTGGCATGAAATGAGCCAATGCCGCAGGAAAGGATGCGTTTTAAGTGGTTTGGAATTTGATTTTTCATGAGTATGTAATGACCTCACTATGCTTTGTAAGAGAACACCAAGAGTGTTAGTACGGCAGTTCTCTACGACAGCAAATGAACATTATTCGTCATTACTTAGAGAACAAAACATGGCCATCTGGTCAAGAAAAGTTATAAGGTCTCCCCATAGAACTGTATAACTACAAGCATCCACGAAAAACAGAGAAGCAAATTGGCTATATTTATAAGATAAAGCGTGTAGTGCCCCATAGTGAGATTATTTATGTCTGTATTTCAGGTAGGACTTCTCTCTCCCGTGAATTATTCCATATTCACTCTTCTGGTCTCTCCTATCATCAATATTATTGGCAGATTTCTACCACAGCTGTCATTTTTGTAGCTGCATCTCGCATGTGACACCTCCCCCACACCCATTTTTTTTCTCTCTCTCTCTCTTTTTTTTTTTGTAGAATGTGTTACAAAATGTTCACTTAGAGTGCTCTGTGGTTTCATTCTCAATCAACTTTCTACTCCCTTCCATCAAGTCTGTGCTGTAGCCATATTGACCCACTTTAGATTTTTGAATGTTCTGTGTTGTGTTAAAACACTGTGCCTTTGCTTATGCTGACATTCGGAAAATACCCTTCTCTGCTTTTTTAAAAAAATATTTATTTATTTATTATATATACAATATTCTGTCTACATGTATTCCTGCATGCCAGAAGAGGGCACCAGACCTTACTTATTACAGATGGTTGTGAGCCACCATGTGGTTGCCGGGAATTGAACTCAAGACCCTTGGAAGAACAGGCAATGCTCTTAACTGCTGAGCCATCTCTCCAGCCCCCCTTCTCTGCTTTTATATTTGATGAGATTCCTTGAAGCCAATGTCAAATCTTAACTTCTCAATTTTCTAATCCTGACTTTCTAATCCAGAAGTTCATAGAGCCTTTAACTAACCCTGAGATTAAGTATGTGATTAATGAAAGTTCTCAAATGAGTAGATATTAACTTGTCCAAAATATGAAGTGGGCTGTTTTCTTTCATTGATAGTCTATTCAAAAAACGTATGTAATAACATCTCTAAAATGTTATAAATAAATATGTAATATTTTAACATGTTTTTGTGTTCAAAGAGAATCAACCTAATAATGCTACCTGAGAAACTTTAAAGCACTGTTTTATATGTATCATTTAACATATTCTGTCATGTATTTTGTCTCCCTAGCCTCATATTGTTTGAAGTAAAGAAAGGTGGTGAATATAACTTTAATCTTGTTTCTGTATCCTAAGCTGGGATATCAAACTATCTATGTTCTGTGGTGTTATGATTATTATTACTATTATTTTTTAACAAATTTTTAGTAGAATATTTGTTATGGTTAGCACAAATATTTCATCTTTGGAACATTGTTTCATTGCACAAAATAAAAGAAAAGAAAATGCACATTATATTAGAATACAAGGTAAAGGCCAGATGTGGTGGTACACATCTTTAATTCCAGTACAGGGGGAGGCATAGGCAGATGGATTTCTGTGGATTTTAGGTCAGCCTGGTCTATATAGTGAGTCCCAGCCCATCTGGGGAAACAGAGTCAGTCTTTGTCAAAAAAAAAAAAAAAGGAAAAAAGAAAACATCTTTGAAAAACAGGAACTAATGTAACAAGATTTTATTATATTTATTTTGAAGTACACAAATGGCTGACAAGCGGTAAGAGAATGCTGTTGAAGTGAAATGAATATATTTGATGTTATCCACAACACAGTGTCCTTTGTCTTACTCCTTCTCTGCAGACCTCGAAGATACTAGAATTGGGAGGTGAGCTGTGGCATGGGTGGTGGGAACACAGTGGCAAACAGGCAGTAACAGCTGTGTTCCAGCAAGGTGAAGCTTTCATTTTCACAAAGTGTGACAAGAATTGTGACTTTGTTGTGACCTTGCACCTGAGCCCAAATAATATATGCTGACATCAAAACAAAAGCAGTTTCAGAAAAGCTAATCAGGATCTTATTTGCTTACAAAGTAATGCAATTTAACCAATCAACATGGCTGTCTTTATCTCTGTTGACCAGTATCAATAATAGCAGTGCACTCACATGCTAACAACATAAGAATGGCCACTTGCACAATTGAAGTAGAGATTTTTACATCTTATTTTTCTGTGCACACAAAGCATTGCTTATTCACAGCCCTTAGGCAATCTTTAGAATACAATAAAGCTCATCACATTATCCCCTTAGATATTATGGAGCTGGTACAATATGCCATCTTAAACAGAGCTAATGATTAGAACCCATTGAGAAGATTCTGAATTCTCCTCCCCGAAAGGCAACGCTTTAATTCTGACACACATCTATGTAAGAAAGAAAGGAAGCAAAATGAAAAGTGGGTGATCACTGTGTTTCAATCAGGTTGTGTCCGTCCTCCTGCATTAGGGGACAGGCAGCTATCAGACCATGGACTGATTAGGATTTGGGAGCTCCTCGTATTCCTCAGCATAGCGTTGGTAGTGATCAGTGAGAAGAGGCTGATTGCCTTCATTCTTGGTGCTTCTAGAACGGATCAGACAGGAAACTCCCACAAAGATGACAGCCACAAGTAACAGTCCAGCCACTACAGCAATCGTAATGATTTCAGAAATAGTGAACTCCTGACCTGTTTGAAAAATAAGATGAGATGAATGTTATTGCCATTCCAAAGTTGAAGACAAGACGACTCAAAGAATGGGTATAAGAAGAATTGCTGGTTTTGGAGCCTCGTTTCTTCAAGTCCCAAGTTGGTGATCTTTCACAATATTTTGGTACTTTTGTTGAGGACAATTTACACTTGAAGGTCTTTAATTTTAAAATATCAAAAATTAGTTTTTTTCTTTTAACAAATAAAAGAAAGTAGCATGGTCTTATGAGTAATTGGTGACATCACAGGTGTTTAAATTGAAAACTCATTCTCTCCTTGGCTGGATACATAGTCTCTCTCATATTAGAATTAACTTCAAAATTTCAGTTTTGTTATTTTCAAGATGACAAGTAAAATACCTCTAAAGATTATGAAGATTAAATAAAATAGAGTGCTGTTTGATTACCTCATTACTGGGTCAGAGTGAGTACCTAGTAAATAATAAACTCCCACATTTTTATTTCCAAACAAAAATCTATGGGAAAGCTTCATATCCAATATAACACACCAAGCTCAGCACACTGTGAGGACCATACCTTTAAGATGACACATTTGCTTTTGGAGAACACCACAGTAAAAATTCGCTGACAACACTGACCTGGCCATTGAACTTCATAGGCATATCCCAGGTTGTCTGAAGCAGTAACAAACATCTCTGTGTTGGTAACTGGAGGCCAGAATGGTACCATGTTATATTGCCTGTTATGTCCAATGGGAGCATTTTCCAATGGGAAGATAGAAATATCTAAAAATATTCCAGAGGAAACTTGTAAGCAGGCAGGAAGTCGATATCAGAGTAGTTGCTATGCTCTGAAGATGGCGAATGTACAAAGAACATGTGGAAAGTGTTTCCAGAGTTTACAGGAAATATGGGCAAAAGGCAGGTGTAACTGCAGAACAGGGTGAATGTAGTACCAACTGTATCACAAATAACAAAAACCCCGTAACAGATATGGGTTCAACCTGAAGATCAGAAAAGCATAGCAGCCAAGTCACTAGAGAGCTCTTACCTCTAACAAATCTTCAGACTGAAAGTGAGCAAATTCCTGTCTTCTACCTGCTTATTTTCCTCTGTAGTGCTGGGATTAAAGATGTGAGATGCCACTACCTGGATCTGCTACTATGTTGATCTTGTGTAGCACAGGGTGGGCTTGAACTCACAAAGATCCAGAGAGCCATCTGCCTCTGTTTCCCAAATCCTAGGATTAAAGGTGTGTGACCCCACTGCCTGGCCTCTAGTGACTTAGTTTTACCTTCTGGTTTTCAGGCAAGTTTTATTTATAAAACATAAATAAAATGACTATAACCAACACTGGTATTGATAGAACCTTTAAAGTCAGAGGACTTGAGCGACACTGCTGTATAAGAACCTCACCAGCTCTTCTGTTTTTAAACTATAAAAGCTAATTTAAATAAATCCATAAACATCTGTCTTACTCAGTGGTCTATAATTCAAAATTGAGGGATAGTTGCCTTGGACATCAAATATATCTGTTTAATACATATATTTTTTGAGACAGGGTTTCTCTGTAGCTGTGGAGCCTGTCCTGGAACTAGTTCTCTTAGAACAGGCTGGCCTTGAACTCACAGAGATCTGCCCACCTCTGCCCTCCTGAGTGCTGGGTTTAGAGGTGTGTGCCACCACCGCCTGGCCTGTTTAATATTTCTATTTTTTATTTACTTTGAGAGAATTCAGTATTAAATCTATTCCCATCTTTGACCATTAGCAGAAGTTTTTAAAAATTGAATCTGATTTCTTACACAATTTGATTCCTAGAATAGAATAAAATAGAGCCTTCCCTCTTTCTGTCAAAATCAGCTATTTAAACAGAAGGCAGTTTTTTCTTTTAAAAAGAGGGTTTCTGTCATCAAGGATGAAAGTAGGGATAGGTGATTTGTATCAAATGCTTGCTGTGTTTTTCTTGTTAATCTGTTTTTATGTGAATGAAATTAAACACCAAATGAATACTACAAAACCAGTGCTAGATCTGTACCCAGAGGGACACTAAGTTCTTCCTTTAAGACATCTGGAATATGTGAGACTAGCCAGGGTTTGGAGTTTCTATGTGTCAGAGGTTTGTTACCCATGGAAGGACTCATGGAAGGATAGCTCAGCATTTACTTTGAGAAAAAGTCAGTCACAGAAACAGTGGTGTCTTTTATATTTTCTGCCTTCAGTTTTACCACATACTACAGGGAATCAAATATTTATTCAAATGTGATGAGTGCCTACCAGTGCTAGGTATTGGTCTAGACACTAAAAGAAGTCGACTTCCAGTCCTCAGTGTTCCCCATCCTGTTTTAGTGTCAGTAACCTGTGAAAGTTCCATGTTGAGGCTTGTAATCCGGCTCTAATTTTCAACTCTCCACTTGACCTGTCTATTGAATCCTGACTTGATCACTCTCAATTCAGTTTGTCTTCAGCTATGGGATAAAGTTTACTAAAATGGGCAGAGGAATCAAAGCAAAGGCAGCAGTCACACTTGGATTCCATGTGACTTCCATTTGCACGATCCTTTTTACAACTCCCATTTCTCCAATGGTGTCATGCTTAATGTAATCCTTAAGTGTCTTCCCAGTTTCCTGTGTTTCCATTTTCTGCTTTTATGTACTTATGAAATCTTTCCACTATCTGCTATACTATATATATTTACATTTGGCTATTTTAATTTCTACTAACAGGTGAAAACCTGTTTCCAGGAGAAAACGACTTCTGAATTCTACATGCTATTTCTGATACCTAGAATGTTGTCCAGGAAACATTTGGTGCTCAACTGATGTTTGCGAAAGGATTTATGATTGTTTCATTTCCTTCTTAGCTGAAGAAGTAGAAATCATTTTGGAAAATGCACAAGCTGCTTTTTTCTGAAAAAAAGTCATGGAACTCTGGTCTATGTGTTAAACAACGCATAACTTCAAAGTAATGAAAGAAGGATATTGAATTACTTGTTACTTAGATTTATAATAGTAGTGGCAAGAGGCAAAGACAAGCAGGTCTTCATGAATTTCAGGCAATTCCGGCTTACATAGATTGTTTCTTTGTGCAAGGCAAGCCTACATAGTGAGAATCTGTCTTAAAATCAACCAACTAACCCACAAAATTAGTAAATAGGAATGAACATAATTATTGCTAGCATTTAGATGTGCTGTATTGATTTATGTCCAACAACGGGGTTTTTCAGCACCATACTGTAAGACAACAACCTGATTTAGCTTTTTTTTTGGGGGGGGATGTTGAGACAGGGTTTCTCTGTAGCTTTGTAACCTGTCCTGGAACTAGATTTTGTAGAACAGGCTGACCTCAATCTGCCTGCTTCTGCCTCCGAATGCTAGGATTAAAGGCGTGCACCACCACTACCCAGCCTGCTTTAGCTTTTTAAATGTTGTTATTCTGACTTCAAATTTTTATAATTCTACAATTTTGATTTCCAAAGAATCTTCAATATGTTTAAAACTTCAATAGAGTTCAAAAAATACAACTCTGTTCTCTCTGCTCCTGGACTATTTTTAAAAGTCTGCTTTTGAGGGAATGTTGCATGATTCTTCCCCATTTCTTACTTTTGCTGTTCTCATTAGTTCATGGCCTCCTTTCCCAAGGGACATTTAGAAATAAATGGGATATGTGGGAAGGTGTCTGATTGGTCAGTTTTCAATTTTACTCAAGTTTTCAGACTTTTTCTATAGTTTAATACTATATTTTATCAGAAAAATGTCACAGGCTAGCTATTGTTTATGGCCTTTCTCTACCCACTGACTGCCTAGTGTCTGAGAATCCTTAGATTTCCCAGAGCACAAGCAGAGAGAGGTTGGGGGAATGATAAGAAAAAAAAATTTCTGCTTTCATCAACAACCTTTAGATTAGATCTGGGGAACCTTTACCAAATTTATACGAATGAGCAATAATTAGGTTTTAGCCACTGTACGAAACATAGAATAGTACACATTTTCATGGCTTCTACAAAACTATAATAAGAGAACACTTCTATTCCCTTTGAGGAATCTAACACTCACAACATTGGGAATGACTGCATAGATATTACTTGTATATTTTTGGCTAGTTCTTCAAAGCCTGTACTTAACAAGAGCTGATTTTGTTCATTTCTAACCTATGAATTCCAGTTTATGTAGTGTTACAATAAAAATAATCGAGTGAAAAATGTTGAAATAGGAGCGATGGGGCTGTGTCCCCGGCACCCGGCCGCCCGCATGGCTAGCTTATGCCCGAAATAATTACACGGAAACTGAATTCTATTAAACACTGCCTGTCCCGGCTGGTTCCAGCTTCTTATTGGCTATCTCTTACATATTGTTCTAACCCATTTCTAATATTCTGTGTAGCCCATGAGCTGGCTTACCAGAGAGGATCTTAACCTGTGTCTGTCTGGAGTGGGAGCATCATGGCGACTCCTCACTCAGCTTCTTTCTCCCAGCATCCTGTTCTGCTTTCTCCGCCTACCTAAGGGTTGGCCTGTCAAATGGGCCTAGGCAGTTTCTTTATTAGTAAGAAATCACTCCCACATCAGAAAAAGACAAGATCTCCTGAGTAAATTGGGAGTGTGGAAACCATGGGAGAGGGTAGAAGGGTAGGGAAAAGGAAGGGAGTGGAGTGGAGAAAAATATATAGCTCAATTAAAAACAATTTAAAAATAATCCAGTGAAACACGCTCAGAGTGCTAGCTATTATTTTAAACAGAACAATTTTGTTTTGACAATTATTAATTTGAACACTGGCGAGATTGGCAAAAAGCAAGTGCCGATGTAAAGGTCTACACTAAGGAGTGGGGAGTATGATGAAAAGTTAGGGAAATGGCAAAATGTAGATTACTGGACCTGGGTTGAATCATAAAAATATTAATTTCTTATTTTATTTTAAAGAAATTACAGTGGCTTGAATGAGAATGATATATTTAAATGCTTAGTTACCAGCAAGTAGATCTGTATGAAAAGAATTAGAGGATTAGGAGGTGTGGTCATTTTAAAGTAGTTGTGACATTATTGGAGGAGTTGTGTCAATGGGGGTGGGGTGGACTTCGAGGTTTCAAAAGACCACTCCAAGACCTATGCCTTTTTCTCTCTCCCTGCTGCCTGTGGATCAAATGTAAACTCTCAGCTATTGTTCTAGCACCATGTCTAGCACATGGTGATAATGGACCAACACTCTGAAACTACTAAGTACGCATCCAATTAAAAGTTTTCTTTTATAAGAATTGTCTGGGTCATGGTATCTCTTCATAGCAATAGAACAGTGACTAAGACAGAAAACAACACTGTAAGTAAGTAATTCATTGTCTGTTGCTGTTATCTATTTAAATACACATGAAATATGAAGCAGGATACCAATTAATAAATTTATAACCTTGCGAGTATTTATGTGTGAATTGCCTGTCGGAATTCATCTTTTGAGACATCTCCCTGAACAACACTGGCCAAGTTCTGAGTACTGGAATTATAGTCACTACCACAACTGTCGAATTACTTGTTTCTTAAATGATTTCTGACAGGATAACATTTTGACCAACACATGGATTGTTGGTCTGGGAAGGTTGCAACAGAGCTTTCTGATATACATAAAGAAGTGTGAGGGCCTCACTGGACAGATAAAGCAAAAGAGAGCTAACCTTCAATATTGTGTGTGTATGACAAATGCACAGCCGCTAAAATTCAGAACATTTCCAAAGTATGAAAATTTATGATGTTTAAACTACTTTCATGGTTTTGAAAAGCAACATACTTCACTTGGCTGAGTAGGAACGCAGTAAATGAGGTCTCTAAAATAATATTTTAAAGAATGCAGTGAAATGAACTTGAAAGAGATTTCCTATGGCACGACATAAAAACTCTTAACTTTTCAAGTCGATCAAATTTTCATTTTTGTGAGGCCATAAAGTAATACAATCAGAATTACAGATTACAGATATGGCATGTTTAGTGTTTTGTGGAACCCAAGAATAGGTCTGTACCATTCTTCTATTTATATTAAAAGGAAGTGAGAAGGTTTGTTGGAAAATATGGGTAGGAAAAACTTGGAGCACATGTCTTTTCATGACAGGAATGCCAGTAGTGACATCTTAATGGTAACAGTACTGAGAGACTTCCACAGTATTCAAAGTGGTTTTGAGTATTTGGCAATGGCTGGATGGGAGAGCTACTGCATCTTTATTTTGGAGCCTATTTTATGGTTGTCAAGTGCTAGCTTATATTGATAGCAACACCACCAGAATAATCCCTTTGCGAAGCCTGCAAAATCATAGAAAAGCACCTCACCGGCATTATACCTCCTCAGCCATTCGTCAAAGACTGCATCAGTGAAAGTATGCAGGAGGACAAAAATCGGATCATTGGGAGACAGATGGGTTTGTCCTCCTGTTCCGTTCAGGAAGAGGTGGGCCAGGTTGTGAAGGCTTCGAACAGCAGGGTCGTATTTCCCGGTGGGATCACTGTAACCTATAGTTAAAAGTAAGGATGAATATAGTAGAAAACATTGTGAGTCAACAGCATAGATTATATTAGGAAGCTATTTTTCACAGCTCGCCAGGCTAAATATTGCCTCAGTATAATAGTGTTGCCCCTTGTAGTAATGGCTGATGACATATGCTTGCTATACTCAGAACTAGGTTAGTTCTGAGCTGGTGGTGTGGTATTCCAAATGTAGCTTGTAGGTTAACAATAACAACCCGCAAAAGACAGCAGTCAAAATATATGAGTGCTGAACTTTGACAAGGCACAGATTTTTCTGCATGGAAACAGGGACAGTGGAAATCCTCCAGTTACTGCTTCTACCACTGAGAACATTGCTGTCACTGTCCTGCAAACTCTCCTGCCTTCCTCCTTTCTAATGACTGCCAGCATATTTATTTTCAGAAAATTAATTTTGTGGGGATGCTAAAATGTTCTCAGTTTCTCTCTTTTTCTACATAGTTTTAAAAATCTGGAAAGATTCTTGTTAAAATAGTTAGAGAAATTTTAGATCCCTCTACATATTAGGCAGATGAGGATAAATGCCAGTTTAGGTCAGAAAGCAGTTGGGGCTTGTGATTTGTGATAGAGTTAAGTGTATCTCATTGGGTTGAACTGCCATGTCTATACAGTCACTCATTCATTTACTCATTCATTCATTCATTCATTCATTCTTTTTCCTATTTTTTTTGACTCAGGGAACATAGCCAGCATATTGCTTTTAAAAATCAGTACTGTCTTCTTATAGATATCAATTTAGTATCTATATGTAGTAAATATTGAGCCAATTCTGTTGGTGAATTAGTATGACTTAAATAAACATAAGGAGAGTGTACAAATTTGATAGCAAAAGGGGATAAAACTAAAGTTACTGATTTCAGTTACAGCTTATGTATCTCTGAACATAGAAGAGAGAGAATCATCCCTGTTGGAAGGAGGGTGGTGCATAGCACCAGTGTGATGCTGGCACTCAAGGGGAATTCCAATAGTAACAAATTTAAAGTTAAGTTAGACATAATTATACTCCTCTAAAAATTTGAATGCATTATCGTTGGCTGTCTCAGAAAGGCACTACACCTATTTGAACTGCACTACTTCAACTTAAAAATACTTCGACTGCTATGAGGAAAATCAAGCTAAACCTCAGTAGACACTTATTTAATTTTTATAGACCTTTAACATTTGTTATAAAGTGTTTCAACTTAAATAAAACTGCCCAAACCAGACTTTACAGGCTGTCAAGCAATTGGAATTTAAATTGTTAATCTTTCCTTTTAAAAAGAAACAATTTGATGACTACGAAATGCTATACTGTGACTTCATTACACAGGAAGCCCGATAACTGCCAGGCACTAAGTTGGAAAGACTATAGAAATCTAAGGGATTTGAAACAATAATTCTCCATGATTTTTTTCTCTGATAACCAAATATAATCTGATATTCCCCCTTACTTTTGAATCCGAAATTGTGACTAAATCGAAATCAACAGTCAATTCATATAATCCCATGTGATCAATGTGGCATTCAAACGCTTTTTGAAAACATCCAATCTGGGGCTCCCCAACTTACTCTCCTAACTAGATTAATTCAAAACACCAGTTTTTCAATTGTTTGTTTACTTGCCTTCCACTGTGTTTCGAAAACTGTTTGTAGAATTGGAATAAAAAGGAGGTGTGTCAAACACGCCAACCTCCAAACACTGGGTGACGTCCTGTGGCGCAGGAAGCCGCTGCACTGCTGGTCTCCCCACGTTCCCAGCTGGGTTTCTCCTGATGGGCCCACCCTCAGTGCCTAGGGAGGAAAGGCATGCACACAGTTAGAGAATGTCTACAGGTCTGGATACTGCTCTTTCATATACAGTGAAAATACTGAAAATTAGATCCTTGTGGAATAACTAGGAAAAGACACGCTCACTGCGAAAAACATCGAAATAACCCTGTCCTGCTTCTCTGAATTGAGACAACCTGATATATCAAAACAATGGAAGAAAGCAATAATCACGTGACAGACGTGGGTCTGCATGCTGCTAAATTCAACAAGCTTTATTAAAAGAATATAAGAACATGAGAAACTGAGTTTTGTTAAGAATAATCTTATAAAGCTAAATATGAAACTAAAATATAAAGCAGGCCATGGTAGCACATGCACTTGGGAAGCAGAGGCAAGTGGACCTCTGAGTTTGAAGCCAGTATTGCCTACAAAACTAATTCCAGGACAGCCAAGGTTACACAGAGAAACCCTGTCTCAAACAAACGAGCAAACAGGCAAAGATACAAACAAACAGAAATATTAAAATATGAAAAATTTTACCCAAATTCCATCTGTTACAAGTCTTCAGAGAGGTAAGAAAAAATACCCCCAAATCTCCTTGGAATTTTGTGCTTATTTCAATCAACAAATGTTTTCCACCTTTTTAAAAATAAATTAATGTCATCAATAAACTTTTTGAAAGGTAGTATGGATGCATTAAGGGAGGGAAGAAACGTAAAGAGAGAGAGAGAGGAAAGGAAGAGAGAGAGAGAGAGAGAGAGAGAGAGAGAGAGAGAGAGAGAGAGCACGCACGCGCGAGAGAATCATAAAGAATAGATTTTCCAGGAACTCTAAATGACAAAATGACTGTGGAAGAACTTCTGTAGGTAAAGTCAGAGAAATTCTGTAAAGTGTGTAGTCTAGAGAGGGACAGTAGCACAACACCGTACGCTTCCTTCTGTTTGTCTCATGAGCACATGAGCGCGCTCATCAATCCTGGCACAGTGCCAGGTGCTTTCCAGGATTGACAAGGAGTTGGTGCACGCTTTGCTATGGCTCTTTGGTGAAGAGCTTGCAAGGCACAGAGCAAGCTGTAGGGAATGATGGAGTTAGACCAGAGCCACATTGTGAAGAAATCAGGTTCCAAGCTCAGAAAGTAACACTTAATTCACTGGGAAATGGGGGAAACTGCGGTAAGTGGGGCAGAGTAAGAATGGTTAAGAGCACATTTTATGAATCGCTATGGTGATTGATAGGCTCATAAGTAAGTGCTCCACAAGGACAAGGCAAATAGTCCATTGGCCTGCGAGGGACAGCACTGCAGCTTCCGTTTGTCTCTCTTTTCATTCACAAATGTCTTATGTTGAATCCTATGCACAATGTCCCCTATCTGTTGCATTTGCATAACAACCATTAAATACCATAGCAATAAAACATAGACCTCTGTCTGTTAGGAGTGCAGTATCCACGTACAGTTTGCAGTATAGACTATACTCAAAAACATTCAGGCATCACTAAATCTAAAGTTCCACTTTTAGCTGTATTTGGGGAATTATAAATAAATCCCGTGAGGCTTGGAAGTATGGTCTACTTTGGTTGCAAGAAACCGCACCCTAGTTCACCTTATGATATTTTATGGTTGAGACTTTGGGTTGTAAAAGAAATTGGTAGAGCCATATTCATTTTATCTCAGTGGTTTTCAAATTTAGTTGAACACGGACAACCTCTGCTAGTTCAGTCACTAATGTCCTGTGAATTCTAGTCTTGTACAGTTTCCACACTGGAATGAATGAGAAGTTCAGAATGTGTGAGGGAAAAATAGATTTGAAAAATTCTGTAAAGAAAGAACCACCGCTTTTTGTATGCTGAATCATAGATGCATTATGAGGGTGGAAAGAATGTCAGGTGTCACTGACTCAATTTGCAGCCACTACATTTCATGAAACAAGTAAATAACAGTGTGTCTGGAATTTCTAAAGAAATGTCCATCTAAGAATATTCATGTTACAGTCTCCCAAAGATGTCAATGGAACTATAGAAATGGATCAAAGAAATAATTTCCGTGAGAGTTAAAGAAGACATATAGTAAGAATCTCATACTGTATGAGAAATATGATGTGATTGGTAGTGTTTTCCTGTATTCTTTATTATGTTTGATTTTCAAAATTAAATGTATGTGTGTGTTGTCTATGTGTGCACATTTAGAGATCACAGAGTCCCCATGTGGGCTCTAGGAATTGAATTCAGGTTGTCAGCCTTAACAACATCAGCTTTTACTTTTACTTGACTGTCTTGCCGGTCCTTTTTACCATGTTCAATAAACATGGTGTTTAATTTTTACATCTTGAATTGTCACAGTGGACAATCTTAAAATTTTTTTTTAAAAAGGAAAAGTACTGTTCAATTTTCATGAAGTTGTGAGGTTTGTTAAACAGAGTGACAGCAAAACCTATGACAAAACGAAATACTTTCACTTTTATTTTTTCCTTTTATGTCTTATTTTCATGGGCTTTAAATTTTTTTTTTCTTTCTGGACTGGGAAGATAGTCAAACTGAGAGACCTGAAATTGACCCAAGATCCCACAGGAAAAAAAAAAAAAAGAAGTGAAGTACGTCAGGGCTCACTTGCAGTATCAGCATTGGAAAGGCAGAGACAGGTAGAGCCCCAGGCTTGGTAGTGAGTCATTGATGCCTTCTGGGGCAGTAAGAAACCTTGCTTCCCCACTCCCCTGCTCCAGAGTCAGATGGAGCCTAAAGCCTGGCTTTAATCACAGCCCTTGAGAGACAGAGTACGGCAGTTGAATCTCTATAGGCTACATAGTGAGATGCAGGCCAGCTAGAGCTACACAGTGAGACACGGTCTCAAAACTAAAAGAAAATAGGCAGACAGAGCTAAAACAATGACAATTGATGGTGGCCTCTGGCTTACACATACACATGTGTATTTCATACTCATGAACATGAACACACACAGACACATGCCACATGATTATGTCTAGCCACCAACATGGCAGGAAAATATCTAAGAACTCCCAGTCCTAAGCACAATAAGCCTGGTGAGAAAGACACATGTGTTAGTATATGAAGACACTCTGACCTTCACTTTCATTCCTCTGTCACAAGGTGGAACCAATTGCTCAGGTGTTAGATTGCTAAGGAAATATTCATGTATTATCACATTTCTTATATTAGTATAAAACTAAATATTTTTCTAATGATAAAAATGTACTCAGTTAAATATATTTAAACTATTCTCTTTTAAGTGCCTAAAGCAATACAAAAATTTATACATAAAATGCAAGCAGAATAATATACCACATATGTAATAATAAATCATAACCTTAATTTTCATATGGAAAATCAAATATTTTTCTGGAAATGCCTGAAGTAGAAAAACAAGAAATAATAGAGAACACCAACAATTAAGACTGTGTTAGTAGCACAGAGAGGGTAACTGTGTTTCATGGAAAAAAATGGGAAGCTCATGAACAGGCCAGTGTACAGCAGAAATGTTCTGTGTCAGAGCTGTGTATGTTCTCTTCAGGAGAGCTGGAGCTGAGTCTGCAGGCATCTTTCTTTTCTCGCATGCATCCCTATGAAAAGTATCCCTTTTGGATGTTGGTTCTCTGAACAAGCATGGAATTTTCCTTTGATTTTTGCTTCCTTCTTGTTCTGCTCCCAGAGCACTCCCAACTAATTTTTTGCATATTTCAGATATTCTTGAAAGATATTTTCAGTAAAATCCCAACCCAAGACACATGACTGCTAAGTAGTGCTTAGTGTGTTAAGAGGATTAATGTACTCTAGGATTTTTGAAAATAGAGTTAGCAATGTACTGATCAAATTGCTGAAGAACAATAATAACATACACAGATACTTAATTCCCGGGAGCACCGTGCAGACTGCTTTGCATCTCCTTGGTGCTCAGTGTGCACCTGCACTGGCAGCAGGATTCATTCTGAAGAAAAAGGCCTTGCAGGAGCACAATTACTTTATCTAATAAAGAATAGTGAATAGTATCTCTGTCATTCGGGTCTTACTGTTGCAAAGTGTTCCCAGGGTGTCGTAATCTTCTAAGGACTCGCAGACCACTCTCCATTGAGAAAAGACAGAGTTGGGGTTTATAAGAGTAGAATCAAAGCTGCTTCTGGATCCCATTAAGTCATCGGTGCAAATATCGCAGACGTTTTTCCCAGTTGCAAAATTCCAATAAGGAAGGGAGAAAGAAGGCTCCTGCAGCATCTCCTAGATCACAGAAATCCGTTAGTGGTCCCTGCCTCTACTTACATCCTTTTTCTTGGCTTCCTTGACTCTGGTATCCTTTTCTGCTAGCTCTCTCCGTGTGCTAAAGAACCAGTGTGTGCAACAATAATATCCAGGATCCCAGAGAAGTTAAGGACCTTATTGAACAAAGTTTGTAATTTAGTTGGAGGACTCATATAGGTAGTAGAAGCAATGAAACTCACTTCATGAAGAAATTTCTACAAATAATTTGGGGAAAATATTGTTTTCATTGTTGGCAGATAATTGTGTTTCTATTCTTTTATTAAAATTTTTATGTTTCTATCTCTTTTGCTTTCCTATTATTTTTACACGTCTCTCCCCTTTCTCCCTCCGCCAAGATCTGTGTAATAGTTCTGGTTGTCGTGGACTTTGTAGACCAAGCTGGCCTCGAACTCACAGAGTCACCTTCAGAGTGCTGGGATTAAAGGCCTGCACCTCCACTGCCTGGCTCCACTTTCCTGCTTATAATGGAAGCACTGCCAATTCTTCTCATCATGCGACCTCAGTTTTGAAATGATTTGTGGAACAGTAAATTTTGGGGTTTTGTTTTGAATGTGGTCTGAATGACTGTAGTTAGGTAGAGTCTGGTTTGCTGACAGACTGTATATTTTGTCTCATACAGATTCGGTTCGTAAAGCTCAAAAGTTTTGTTTAGAGACCTACATTGCAAAGCTGCACTAGGAAGACGGGAGGCTGACTGAAGCTTACAGACAAAATGCTAAGCAGATTCAGAATGAATTCTGTGCCTGTTGTTTTTAAGATCAGTGACCTAGTTTCCACTTAGAAACCATCTCACACTTTTTTGAAAATGCTTGAGACCAAGGTCACATGCTTATTTTATCGAATTCCTTAAAACACCAGTGTGGGAGGTCCTTTGTCTATGTGTTGCTTTTATTGGTTAATGAATAAAGAACTGGCTTGGCCTACTGCATGGGAGGAGAAAGGCGGAGTTAGGGAAAAGCGATGGAGCCACCTGAGACAGACACTGGGAACTTTGCCGGGAAGCCACTGCCATGTGGCAATACACAGATTAATAAAAATAGGATAATATGTAAGAGATTAGCCAATAAGAAGCAAGAGCTAATGGGCCAAGCAGTGATTGAATCAATCCAGTTTCTGTGTGATTATTTTGGGTCTAATCTGGACTGCGAGGGGGGGTCTGCTGCTACAAAACACTGCTTCCTTCATTCTCTTTCTTTGGCCCTTGGGGAATTGCTTTCAGAGAGTGAGATTTAGTGCAGAGCTGCTTTTACCTTGGGTAACTTTCAAGGGCCTGTGTCTTTCTGCTCCTTTCCTGTGTCTCCCTTCTGACAGGCATCTCCTTATCCTTGGGTGTTTTTGAGTTCAGAGGCTTTTCAAGGTACTTTCAGCTATTGATCACTGAAGGTTTGTATTACTCATACAAAAATAATCACTGTGCTTTACAAAAATTAGTGACAACTGTCAAGGGCTCATTAAAAGTCAAGATCCACTGTGACTAGGCAGCTGATATTTGGGAGCCAGAGTGTTGTGTGTCACAGGTAGCCTGGAACATGATGATGCCTTGCGCTAGAAAATGGAAGTCATCAAGGTGGAAGTTGCAACAGTCGAGGCTGGAGACACTTCCTGCCCACCTTTCCAAATTCTCATATGCCATTGGGAAAATGCCTTGAGAGGATGAAGATCTACAGTCCGTTACCAATGGCAGATTTATCCACTCACAATCTATTAAATGTCTTCCTTGTAAACAGAGCCTTAAATATGATGCTGAAAGGAGTAGATGGACTCATTTAATCACCTTCTAAGTACATACGGACAGACTCCTGTCAGCTATCTTTGTATTGCAGTGCACCACTCTGTCTCTCCCAACCATTGCTTTTCCTTGAAATGCTAGCATAGTGCCCCAAAAATCAACAGTTTTTTTTTTTTGAAGATATTAGTGAATTTTAAGACTTTAACTTTGGGATCAAGATTCATGATTAATGCTTCAAATAGGAAGCAAGTTTAGTTCACAGACTTAATAATTGAGATCCAACAATAAGCAGTTTTATTTGGGCTGGATACTGCTCCTAGGGCCTTTTGCTTGCTAGGCAACTGCTCTTTCTTTGAGCTAACCTCACAGTCCCTAAACTGTTCACTTTCTGAATGACAGTATTTTTCTCAAATATTTGTTCAGTTAGTGAAAAGGCAGCAGTTAGATATTTATGATACTAGATATTCTAGTGTCTTTTGAGTGTATCTGCTTATAAAAAAGGCTTGAAGTTACTGTGCTTGTTTGAGGTCTACTTTACATTCCTCTTCAAAATGCTAGTTTTCAAATGACAATTTGCATCTAAAGATATGCCATTTTGAGGTCCTTTTAGAAACTATATATATACATATTATATATATTAAAGGTGTGTAAAATAATATTTTGATATATTTGAATGTGTGTATGTATGCATTTATATATACATACACATACACATACACATACACATATACATATACATATACATATATATACACACACACACATACACACAATGGAGTAAAATGAACACAATGGAGTAAAATGGATAAAATGAACACACCCATCAGTTTTTAGGTTATTTGATGCTTTTGTGTGGGGCTCTTCTGTAAGCCTTAAAGTGGTAGGGGATATGAAAAAGTTTAGTTCAGTGGACATGAAAGGAACCATCGACTTTAGAACCATCAGCTGTTTGAGGGGCTATGTGTGGATGGAAGAGCGAGGCACAGTGCACCCTTTCCCAGGAGGTGGTGCCTGCATGCATTCTAGAGCTCAGGAAGAAGGCCTGAAAGCTGACAATTCCATTATTTTCTAAATCATTTCCAAACTTTTAGTTCTTGGCCAAACAAGGTCTCCATTGTTTTTCTCATCATTAGCATTCTTTCATTTCACTGCACAAAAGATCAAGGTTGTGGGAAGATCTTACCTGGAAGTCACAAGTATCCTGACAATGTGATTGTTTTGTCACGGCTCATTCTTGTCATTCAGCACAAAGTGAATCACAATGATTTATTTACACGTAAGGACCTAAAACCCAAGATGGAACATACCTGCATGTCTCTCTCCAGCTGCAGCAGATGGTACCTGTGCCACGTGAGAAAAGCTGGTCCTTCATGAGAGAAATCCACATCGCCAAAGCTTTCCTGCCCTACCCCAAGGAAGGTTTTTTTGACTGAATAATAGTGTGTCCAAACAAAGTAGTTGTAGATGGAAATGTTCTCGAACTGTGGTGTGTTGCCATCTGGTCCCAGTATGTCTTCTGACCTCCTTGTGGCAATGACAAATTGAGGATGCGTTGTGCGCTTTGCCATATCCAAGGCTCTCACAAAGTGGCTCCTTTCTTCTGCACTTAAGTCAAGAAGATTTCTCCTGACTTTAAGGATGAAAATGTTAAGTTGTGAAAATCAGCACAATCATATTACAACATGCTGTGCCCCCCCCACCGTGTCCATTAGTTCATATGTGCTCCCGTTCAGATCTTTTATAAGCTATTTAACTGGTTAAATATCATTTCCAAGATGCTTGGGACCAGATAGGTTTTGAGTTTACAGATTTTGAAATATTTTCTTGTACATTATATTTTGGGGATTAGGTCCAAAGCGAAATGTAAAATTCATTTGTTTCATATACACTCCATTATACACATAGCCCAAGACAATGTGAACCATAGTTTCATCAGTTTGTGTTTAAAACAAAGATTAGCAGTATGGGACTTTCTATTTGTGATACTATATTGGGCTTGAAAACTTTTAGAGTTTGAAGAATTTTGGAATTTTTGATTATGGATTCTCAATCTGTATGTTATTAAAAACACTCCTAATGTAAACCTTTGTTTAGACTTTTCTCTCGCCCATTCCCTCTTTTCTCAGCAATTTACTTTAATGGGGCCCCAGGCCTTAGTAGGTCCTGAGACCTTATTACAACCAACTCCATGATGGAAATACCAATCAGGCTATAAAACTCATCACATAGAAAACACCACCTGCCAAAACTAAAACAAAGGCTTAATCCATCGACGTTCACAGAGCTCTGGGAAGATCTATAAATGTACTAGCTCTTCTTTTCAGTTTCTGTAGTTCTGCTTCTGACTAGCTGATCTTGTTAACTGAATTATGCCAGCCCAGAACATGGTTTTTGTGCATAAAAACTCACCCTGAGGAAGGCTCAGGGCTACACTGGCATCCTGAGTACTCAGTGTAGTCACTGGCCAGCTAATAAAGACTTTCTAAAGCCCTGTTCAGGCAGTCTTCTATGGTACATACCCTGCAACATTTACTCTTGAGTCTTTAAAATATTTTTAAATCTTACACGAGGATTTGTGGTTCTGTGATATTGTCATGTTTATTTTTGTTCACTATTGACATTTTTTTGTTTTAATTTTCTACTTTTTTCTGAGATAGGATGTCTCTGTGTAGGCTTTGCTATCCTGGAACTGGCTCTGTAGACCAGGCTGTCCTCAAACTCAGAGCGCCTCATGCCTCCTTTTCCTGACTGCTAGGATTAAAGGCATGTGTCACCACCCCACAGTGGAATTTTCTACTTTCTAAACATCATAAATCTTATAAAAACAAGGCAGATGAGCCCAGCATAGTGGTTAAAACAGAGCGTTTTCTATATTTTGGCACATTTTCTTAGGTTCAATTTTCATGTATGTGGTATTTGAATAAAAAGAACTCCTGTTTTCCAAAGATACAAAGATCCGAAGAGAACACATACACACACACACACACACACACACACACACACACACACACTTAGACCAGGATGTGGATGATAATAAAATCTCAAAAGATAGTCTGTGAGGGACTGGACAGATGGCTCAGAGGTTAAGAGCATCGCCTGCTCTTCCAAAGGTCCTGAGTTCAATGCCCAGCAACCACATGGTGGCTCACAACCATCTGTAATGAGGTCGTGCCCTCTTCTGGCCTGTAGGCATACAGACAGACAGACAATTTTATACATAATAAATAAATAAATAAATTAAAAAAAAAGATAGTCTGTGAAACCCCTGGTCATTGTCTGAGACATGGAAAACCAGCAAGTGCTGCTGCTGTTACTGTTTCATGCTGCACACACTTGATCCTTCATCTAAAATTCCATCACCACTGTGAGGAACTATGGTGCCCCACGGCAGCTCAGTGAGGAGAGACTGCCTTGTTAGAGTTAGATAGATCTCAGTGGGAATACCATGCTTGCCAAAGGTCCAGATCGATGAGTTTGGCCTTTCTGAATCTAATGGACAAAGATTAGCATAAACACCTCTAGTGATACAAAATCAGTTCCCAACACATAGTTACTGCTCAAGCATTTTTGAAGGAAATACTGTGTGTGGAGGTGACATAAACAAGTGTGTGAGGACCAGAGGAGAGTGTTAGCTGTCCTCTATCACTCTCCACCGCACTTTCCTGACGCAGGGCCTCTTGCAGGCGTTCATGACATTTTGGCTAGACCTGTGGTTTTTCAAAACTCCATAGATTCACCTGTCTCTCACCCTTAGGCCTGGGGTTACAGGCACATGTGGCCATACCCAGTTCTTTAAGTGAGTGCTGGGGACCTGGCCTCAGCAGCAAGTGTTCTTACCACTCACTGAGCCATCTCTCCGGACCCATGGAAACACTATTAGTTAAAATGTGGGGGTTTCAATCCCAAACTACAATACCAGACAAAGTTCTTCAACTTCCTAACCTTCAGTTTGCTCAACTAGGGAAAAATGGTTGAGCTTTATATCTGTAGCTATCTCCTGATATAAGTGATTCAGGTTCTGTATATTGTGTATAACCTTGAGTCTAATGGAATGAAACTGCCTTTCCCATCTTTCCACTCACCTACGAGAGTTTTCTGGTCACATGCAGCTCCTCTCCACCCAGGACGGCAGGTCCCACAGTTATGTCCTGAGAAATTGCCGTTGCACTGACATGTCCTATTGAAGAACTTAAGAGGCCAGCCCTCTCGGTCATCTTTGCCATCGTGGGGGTAATGGAGGCTGTGGGGTCGGGAGTCTGCGGTCACAGACTCACACCTTCCCCTTCCTGACGATGAGCCACAGGGATCAGTCCCAGGTCCAGAGGAAGGAGAGAGGTCTGGGCAACACTCTCTACTTCTCAGAGCCTCAACAGTGGTACACTCTCTTGGAAACTGAGCCCAGACTTGATGAAAAAGCATCAGGGAGAGGAAGACAGAAGCCAGGGGGAGGACTTTGTAAGATTTCATTCTTCTAGAAGAGTACAAGATACAGATATAGTATGGATACAGATCTAGTATGCTGCTTTTTGCAGGGAGGAAACTGAGGTACTTAGATCAAAGCCAGCTGAGAAAAAAAAAAGGCAGAGTTACAAAACCTTTTTTGAATACTGTTCCCAACCTACTCCAAAATGGAGTCCTTCCAAGTGAAACAATATTACTAAAAATAAATAAAAACAATTTACTTTTAAATATCAAGCAAAATACCTAGATCACTGAATCCATTCTCCTGGTTTTGAGTTTTCTTATGTAAAACTTCTACTTGCAAGAATCTAGTTCTAGGGATGGGGAAGTGGCTCAGTGGTTAAGAGCACATATTGTTCCTTCAGAGGAACTAAGTTCAGTGTCTTGTACCAACATCAGGTGGCTCATGATTCCTTGTAACTGCAGCTCCTAGGGTTCCCCTGTGCTCCTTATGGGCGCCTGCACTCATGTGCACATATATCTATATGCAAACACATAATTTAAGAAGAAGACAGAGCTAATCTAAAAAGATTTAACCTGGATATAATTTACTGAAAGCATCTACTAGTGACAACCATACTCACATTTAACCATGGATCTGAAAGGGAAATCAAGAGCAGGCACCTAGCAAGCAAATCTCCTTTATCCCAGTACAGCTTTGGCCACAGTTGACCCCCAACAGACCTGCTCACCAGTACCTTTAACTTCAGGAGGGTTTCTCTGCTGTCTTCCTTCTGAGCAAGTGTTGGATGTCTGCTTGTCCCCTGGTGCCAGCTGTTAATTGCATATGGGTTACTGCCAGACAGTAAATCCCAGAGGATCACTCACACTGGGAGGGGCTGGTTCTCTCCTCCAGCTCTCACTAATCCCTTCTCACACCAGTGAATTCTCCTGCCCTTTAACTACTCTGCAGCACATGACTCCCTCCCTACTGGTTCCCTTGTGATGGCTAAGGTTTTAAGAAAAGGTCAGACACACTGATTTGGATGATGTGTTAGAGACACTGAAGAGCTTTTGTTTTCATTGTAGCGATTTTATTTTTTTCTTTATCTTTACACTTAAGGATGAAACAAGGTGAAGTGCTTTCTCAGCCACACAAAGTCCAGGTGGTACTGGTATCCTCTGGTAGCTCTTAAAGAGCCACTTTCCCCTGAAACTGAAAACTCATGAATAGGTAGCCAACATTCAGATGTAAGCCTGAGTTTGGAATACATGATTACACATGTAATCATGTGTAATTTGCACAAAGTTTGTCAGAATTCACGATCAGTGTTGGCTGTTCTTTTGATGCTAAGCTAGAAGTGTGCAGAAAACAATATATAAAATAACCCGATATGTGTTTAGCAACGAAAAGACAGCTAAGGATCTGTCTATAAATTAAGGTAAGAAAGAATAAGAGTGCTTGCTTCTGTTTCTAGTTACTTATGTATGCCAACATATAAACCAGAGTTATCAAACCGTGTTTGATACAAGAGTGTCCGTACATCTGGTCACTCTTTTGTTATTTTCAGGTTTTAATCAGTTGTGCCTACAGCCTAGTAACGTGAGCACATACTAGGACATTCTTTTCGATGTGTAAAAGAAACCAGAATATTTCTGTTGATGATTGATTACATACACAGTGGACAAACACGTTTTTTCTTCTGTATCTCTAGGCAATTCGAATCTCACGAATGAAACCATTCCTGTATAAGTAGGCTTTAGTGACTAGATTTCTCCCAATAGCACTGTCTCAAAAGTGTACTTGAGTTGCTGCATGCGAAATTTTACAACAAAATTTTATAGTTCTTATGGCAGTTTGATATATTATTGTAATAATATATAATAATATATTTACCCATTCTCCAGTTATTAGACTTTTGGGGGTGTTCTCCTGTATATTTTTTGTCTTGTGAAAAATACCCCTATAAATAATCGTTAAACGTTTTCTGTTGAATATTATATATATTCACGGTAAATATCTGTAGAGGGAGTTGTTAGTCTTGAGGCTTGGGAATATGTATAAAGTAATTTTAAATTACTTTCTAAATTGTTTATATCATTTCCCATTTTCATCAGCATTGTTCAAGGTTGCTAACACTTAGTATTAATAGACTTATTTGTCAACACTGCATTGAATTCTTTACCTTTATTCCCAGCCTTACTTCATGTGGTTTCAATTATTTGTAGTCAGCTAGTCTGAAAATATTAATCAGAAAATTCTAGGTATAAGCAGTTCACACGGTTTAAACCGTGTGCCATCTGTGTGGAATGATGAAACCTCATACCAACCATCTGGGCCCGATTCATCTTAGTTCTGTGTTTCCTCCCTCTGTGTGCTCCTCATTCTCTGTTATTAGCATGCTGCTCTGACCTCTCCTTAGCTCCCTGGTTCTTGTGGTCTCCATCAAGTGAATTTGGATGGGAGTCACAGATTATAGTATAAAATGCAAAGGGAGGTTATTGTAGAAGAATATGAGGCATTCTCAAGGATGGGTTGTGACAATAGCCAGAGAGATAATTATGTCAACCTACATATTTAGATATCTTGTGTGTGTGTGTGTGTGTGTGTGTGTGTGTGTGAGTGTGTCTGTTTCATGTTTTTATTTGGGTTGGGAGGCAGGAGGGAAACAGGGTGAGAGAAAAGACTGGAAACAGGCAGCCTGCTAAGTTTCCTTCTCAAACACAAAGTGCTTTCATTCTGATAGCAGGCTCACCAAAAGGGCACATTGAATTAGTTCTTATGGGAGGGAAGAGTGCTAAACCTTTAGAAAGCTTCCAGTGACAAAATAACCATATACAGTGTGTGTGTGTGTGTGTGTGTGTGTGTGTGTGTGTGTGCGCGCGCGTGTTTAGTTCAATGTCATATCCCTACCCAGGGTCAGAGAGACAATTCATATCTCCCTGTTTTGACTAGTGGTCAACGACCTGGGGTTTCGACTCCTGGTTTTATAAGCTGATTATGAAGTGGGTTCAGCCTCGGTGACATTCCAGCCTGCTGATGTCTGAAAAGCCTGAGGAGTGGTTTCAGCGATTATCAGGCCAACTATAAAGATACTGTGATGAATGGGTTCAAACAAGTTTTATGTATTTATCAATGACTTTATGATGCAAGAGCAGTGATGCTGGAAGCCTGGATCCTGAAGACAGCCTAGAAGTTATTCTCTTCAAAGAAAAGGTAAAAGTTTTATTTGGTAAGGAAGAAAAAAAACAAACCATAAAATATATTGACGTTTCTAAATTATATAGTAAGAATGACTACAATGAAATAAAGTAGATACAAAAACCCTTACTCGGTGTGATTTCATACATTCACAGGGAGGTGTGGAATGTATCCTCAGATGATAGATTAGTGAACCTTCTGCATATTATCAACTAGATAAAACATCAAATATATATTTTTAAAAGGTTTATTTTTATTTTATACATATGTGTGTTTTTGTCTGCTTGTGAATCTGTGTACCATCTGCACGCAGTTCTTGCAGAGGCCGGAAGAGGGCATTATATCCTCTGGCACTGGAGTTGTAGAGGTTTGTGAGCTGCCTTGTGCCTCTGGAAAAGCAGGTAGTACTCATAATCGCTGAGTCATCTCTCAAGGCCCCAAAACACCAAATATTAATTGTTATGACTTTTCATGAGCACTCAATAATTTTTACCTTGTTTCTAGTACTTCATTATCACTGGTATCTTAATTTTAGAGATAATTTAATTGCTGTATTTCTCCTGTCTTTTTCTTCCCCTTTCTCTCTCCAAGTCCTCCTGTTTACCCCTCACCATTCTCCTTCAAATTTATGCCCTCTTTTTCTTTTTTTTAATACTTTTTTTATTACTTTATAAATAATACCATTCAAAATTTCCACTTCCTTCCCTCCTGCTCCCTGTCCTCCTCCTCCCTCCCCCTCCAGTCCTAAGAGAGGGTAGAGTATCCTGCCCTGTGGGATGTTCAAGGCCCTCCCCCCTCCATCCAGGCTTAGAAAGGTATGCATCCAAATAGACTAGGATTCCAAAAAGCCAGTACATGCAGTAGAGACAAATCCCAGTGCCATTATTATGGTATGCCTTATTTTTTTCACTAATTGTTATGAACTTGAGTGTTGTGTGTGTATGTGTGTGTGTGTTTATTTTCATTTGCTTTTTATTGGTAATAAAGAGTTTTTTTTCATACAATATATTCTGATCATGGTTCTCCCCCTCATCTCTTCCCCCTTCCTTCTCTCCCCACCATCCAACTCCATGCCTTTTTTCTATCTCTTAAGAAAATAAATCTCCTCCCCTTTCCTTCCCTCTCCACCATCCAACTCCATGCCTTTTTTCTATGTCTTACGAAAATAAACAGGCAAATAAAAAAGACAAAAATGAATACAACCAAATGAACAAACTAACAAAGAAAAAATAGGTGAAACATATATATATGTTTAATACACACACATAATACATACCTACATACATATATACCATACATATACACACACAATCCATGAAAACCCAAAATTGGAATCATAATGTATAAGCAAAAGGCCAGTAGAAAATGTCAAAAAACAAAGCAGTATGAGACAAAAAAGTCCTCCAAAAATACATTTGAGCTCATTTTGTGTTGGGCATGAGGCCTGTCCTTGCGTGCATTACTCATGTCTTTTGGTAAACTTGAACATCAGATTGATTCCTTAGTTTCTCTCTCTCTCTCTCTCTCTCTCTCTCTCTGTGTGTGTGTGTGTATGTGTGTGGGATTGTTCTTGCTGATTCAAGTGTGTGTATGGAGGGCAGAGGTCAACCTCAGACGCTCCTCCTCAAGTGCTGACCACTTTGTTTTTAATGGCATGGTCTTTAATTGGTCTGAAATTCACTGATCAGGCTAGTCTGACTGGCCAGCAAGCCAGGGTCACATCTGTCCCAACTCTCTCTTGTCCAACATCTGAATTACCAGTTCTAACAAACACTCTAGTTTTTTTTTTTTTTTTTGAGTATAATAGAGGGTTATTTATTTAAGGGTAGACTCACAGATCACAATCCTCTGATCACATGGGGAA